CCCCCCCGGGACCCCCATCCAGCCTATACCCAGAGAAGCACTAAAACCTGCCACCCCTCAGTTCCCCACAACACCCCTTCCACCCCTTAGTGTGCATTTTGAATTAGATGCACTTCTGTATTTTCACTACTTAATACTTTCCTAAAGGAAACCGTTTTCATTAGCCTAGTCACTACTTGCTGTTCTCTGGAGTCAGGTTAATCTCTTACAGTGACCTTACTGTAATCTTATCAGTTGTTCTCCAAATAAGCTGGTCTTTAATTAGCCCTGGTTACTAACTATGCAAACCTCACATGATTTTGTTTTGCTTCTCTAGCAAAATGATCAGTTAGTTTCTTGTAAAGCAAACGCACTTCCCAAGGGGCATTATTGGATAGGTCAGACTTTATTGAGATTTTTGAAACAAGTTTGTCTGGATGTTTGTAATGTCCTTCATTGTCCCCTTGGAACGTACTGTAGCTTGTCAAGGGCTCTGCTCCTGCTACACACAGCAATGTGGTCTTCCCTCTCTGATTTCTATGCATTATCACTTACTTTCCAGAAGATTTAGAAATACTAAAGCTACATCCACAAGTGGCTTCATTTCCTCCATTTTTGCTGAAGATTCAAGTTACTGACACCAACTAATAAGCATGTGACACATAGGAGTGCCTGTAAGGCTGTCTGCATTGGAAAGTTGTACTGCTCTAGCTATATTGGTATAATTAAGGCAGTACACACCTCTAGTGTGGATGCAGTTAGGTGACTATAAAGCTGTGCTAACCCCATATAGCGATTCCTGTATAGGACAGGGAATAAGCTATACTGGTGTAACTGCATCCACAGTTTGTACCAAGTATCAGAGGGGTAGCCGTGTTAGTCTGGATCTGTAAAAAGCAACAGAGTCCTGTGGCACCTTATAGACTAACAGACATATTGGAGCATAAGCTTTTCTGGGTGAATACCCACTTCGTCAGTATATCTGTATCAGTTAAAATAAATTTAAAAAAATCAACCCCTCACCCAACATAGTTACATCAGTACAACTGTCAGTGTAGACAGGCCTGGGGCACGGACTTATTTCATAGCTCTAGTCATGTAACATGGATCAGGGTTATTAAAGTTTCTCTCTCAGCAGTAGTCAGATATCCAATGGGTCCAGTAATCAACAGCATGTTTCTCATTTGTTCTCTTTGTAACCTTTACAGCTGCCCAGCTGGTCCCAGCTTCCTCAAACCCCCCTCCCCCCCAATTGATCTGGGAAGCAACTACTCTCTTCCTGCTCCATATCCTTCTCTAGACTCACCTCTCCCAGAACACAAAGAAGTCAGCCAATTAATGATAGCTAGATTAAAGGGTATATGAAGAAAGGCTTTAATATAAGAAATGGAAAAACTGTATATTGATATGTGTTCTCTTCCCCTGCGCTACTGCAGTATTAATAAGAACAGTAATATCCTTGCACTGGCACCTTTGTTAAAAAACACATTCACCATACCATTTAAAACAGGGTCTGATGAAATTCTAGAATTTTAATTTAAAATGGATTTTATACATTTGACTTGATACAAACTTAACATACTTTTGAACATACTGTATGCTAAATACTGTGCCATTTATAACAAAGTGTAGACACAACCATTCAAAAAAGATACAACTGGTATATTTCCACATACTGTAGTAAAACAAAGTTTTCCCATAGGTAAAACTCTGTTCCAGATGGAAAGATGTCACAAAATGTAAACCTCTGTGATACTTAGCAAATGGCAGCTATCTTGAACTGCCTTAAGATATTTTTAAAAGATGCAGGCTTTTAAATAATTTAAGGAAAATTAAAAACAGATCATATTTGAACCAATACTTCAATCACCAACAGTAAAACATTGCATTGCATTGGCAGTCACTGGGCTGGCACATGCCCACATTGGGGCAAACTAATTCCCAGGAAAAGCAGGACAGAGTGACGGAAAGAAATACAGAGTAAAATTCTTATATTGTCCAAGCAGGTCAATTTATGGGCCCAATCCTGCAAACACTTAAGCACATCAGTTGCATAATGTTAATAGTCCTAACTTTACATACATGCATATCTGTAGGCATCTTAAGTGTTTTCATGGCCTGATACAAGGAGTCATCAGATTTTACACTAAAAAAAGGCAAGAAATCATTTGCACGTAAATTTGGATGTTGCATTTAGAAAGAGGGTTGCTTTGGTTTTCACACCACCACTCAGTGTTGGTGTACTACAGTTGTTGGATTCCACCACAAGAAACCTGTTTGGTCTAGCATAAAAAACGACCCCAACTGATGCAGTACAACAAAATCAAAATAATAGTTTTGTGCTATTGTACACAGTGTAATCAAGTCTGAAAAGGGTAATTCACAAATTATCACATCGTACACTATTTAGGAATGTCACTAGACATTTCATCATACTTCCATACCCATGATTGGACATGGCTTCAGCCTGAAGCAAATCAATGCCGCTCCTTAGATGGAGCTGATAGGGTCACAAATCAGCAACATTCAGGAAGTGTATAAATAGTGAACAAATCTGAAAAAAGTGTTCTACTCATATTTTTCATCCCACCTTTACATCACAGCTATGAGTATTTGAGCTCTGTGTCTTCTCTTTGTGAAAGGAAGATCCATTCTAATGGGCCAGTGTTGCATTTATTAAAAAGAAATAAGTACTGCACTTTATTAGGCTTTATATATTCTGTTTTGTCTAACTAGGTTAAACTTGTTGAGCTAGTTTCAGCCAACATTTTAATTTTAAAAATAATCCAAATGTGCTGGTGACACTTTCTGAAAAAAGTAAAGATTTAGGGCAAACTAGCCCATCTTTCATAGTACTGGTCGAACCTGTCAGGTCATATATCTAATACGTTTGGTGATCTCAGCACTCCTTAATGGATATATGTCCACATTCCAGAAGATACAACACAACAGGAAATCACAGACACTAAACTTGGTTAGATATCATGCAGCCACGCAAGGGTTTCAGGCATTGCCCAGCAATAGCAGATGTGCACACAGCTCTGGTTTGAGCCATATGCACCCCCTCTCTCACTTTCAAAACAAACTCACTGCATTTTTAAGAGTGTACAGATAGGATCTGCCAGAGTAGAACATAAAATCACCTAGCTGGAGTCTTTGGTGACCTCAGTACCTGATGGGTGTACATGCAGATTACAAAATAAACATGCAACAGCACAGGTGGCACACAGACACCAAAAACTAGGATGGCTTGGGTGCTGCTGGTAGAAGTGAGAGATTGCTCAGCTCTGCGAGAAGTATACTCAGCGCGAGTTTGAATCACATGTGATCACTCCAATTTTAAAGCAAACACACAACATAATCTTCAAGTGTACGCACGCAGATCTGCCACTGAGCCATGAAACCACATTAATGCCATTTGTAAAGATGAGAGATTTCATCCTATGAGTGGTACTCCTGCTTTTTAGGACGAAATAAAGTAGTACTATAGTATTAACAAAAAATAAAAGTAATGAATTACCAAACTGTAATACAATTCTAGAATTATCTACGTTTCACCTATCTAGCCTTTCCTTGCTGAATGTATTACAGCATTCTAAGCAATTTATACCCTCAATCTTAGAATCTCCCCCACCCTATCTTTTTGTATTTGTGGGTTTTTATTACAAATATATATAGTATCTATTTCAGAGAATATAAAGCAAAACCAAGTTGGACACTAGAAAAACATTACAACTAAAGGCAGCTAGGGCTAAATTTATAAATTCTTTATTTAAAAACCCCAGAGTACATATAAAGGACAGTCTGCTATCCAAAGCACATTCTTCTTATGCCTACTGTTTGAAAACCTGCATTTACACCCCATATTTACACAATAAACTTTAGTTGTGTGTGTGTGTGTGTGTGTGTGTGTGTGTGTGTGTGTGTAATATACAACTTATGTATATACACACAAGAAGTATATACGTAACACATGAAGGCAGTATGTGCCCATAAATCACAAATGCGAGGGAAAATTAGTAATCAAAGTGAAATAAGTTACATTTCTTGTATCAAGGTAAAACTCAGGAGGAAGATGTCTGAATATATGCAAATCTAAATAGTTCCAAGTTTTGAAAATGTTTCTCGGAAACAAACTTTTCACAATGATAAAGTATTGACTGTTTTCTGTTACATGCAGGTGAAAAGGAGTATTTCAGACATGACAGAATAATATTTTCCACAAACTAAAATTAAAAAATAATAATAGTGCAAATGATGGTTAAAACATTGGATATTTTTCT